GATATTTGAGAATAGTCAGACGCCTACTAATATCGATGATTCGTTTTTAGATTGAATCAAAGAATTGTTAAACGAATTCAATCAATGGCACCAGCGTGACCAAGAAGAACAATAACGTCGTCAATCATTTTATTTTTAGATCATATGTTACTAATTTATGCTTTATTGTAGTCCATGTATGTTGATATACTTATTCCATGATAATTCCATGTTTATCCTTTTGTGTGATGTAAATTAAATGCTGAATGACGGTTCATGCAGGGAAAGAACATATCAATATTCGCATATTCATTCAAAAACATGAAAATTCTTAATAGAGTACCCTCATTTCTTATTGAATTCCAAAAAAACAATATTTATAATGAATTTTAATAATTTTTTCAGATTTTTTTTAAGCTTTATTCTGGCAGATTCACCCGATTCCCGATCCGGATCGCCGATTCGCCGATCTTTTGGGTGCCCGATCAGGGTCACCGATCCGTTTTTTAAACCATTGCTCAACACTATGTCTCACTCCCATTTCCGAATGCTAATTGGCAAAACAAAAAGTAAGTAGGGTTTGTTTCTTTTTCTCTCTCCTCCCAAACATTATGAAATGTAAAACATAATTTTTCCAAATGGATTTGTAAATCTTACGAAATTTTAGGAAATTTACAAAATAATACTATTATGTTTTTTATATTAATTTTTTTTGTAATTTTATATAATTTCTATTTTACAATCAAGTCTTAATTTTCCATTTTTTTTTCTTTATTCCCAAACTATTTCTAGCTTAGACATCCGATATCCGAATTGCGGTCTTTCTTTTTGTTTTTTTTTGGTGAAAAACACATTTAGATGTTGAACATTCAAATCCACTCGCCCACACCTTATGAGTTTGGACAAGTGTCCGATCCAACCCACGATAAAAAAAGAAAAAGCACAAAAACAGAAACAAGAAAAAGAAGAAGAAGAAGCAGACATGTGGGAACTCAGTAATTTGTCCTATTTTTAGTACAACACTAGTTCAGATAGTGGATGTTCAAACTTATTGTTGGGTTTATGTGGCCTTTAAAGGTTTTATGAGTGCTTGTAAAATGAATTGGTATGGTGGAATATCAACTCAGTGGGAGTGTGGCCAACCGTGGACTATACTAAGCAAACAATGTTTGATGATACCGATATGTGCTTGACGATCTAGGCCAGTCAGTTCAGGAAAACCTATGTTACTTGGGGATAAAGAACAAATCGAGAAGGGTTCTAATAGGTTAGCCCTTGATGAGGTCGGAGCATATGCCGAGATGAGTGAGCCAAGGGACTGTGTGACCCTTGTGTGTAATGGTGGCCTACAGAGACAGGGGCCAAAGCCTCATCCATGTGCCATCACACGGCATGCATATCAATAGACTTTCGGGAAAGCCAGAAATCCACTTTTTAAGGTGAAGCGTATGCCTGTGTGAGATATACCCCTATGGGTCATAGAGTTGTGGTCGCATCAGGTCTAGATGACAATGACTGATCTTTATGGGAGGACCTGTAATCCATATAATAGGATTGCGACCCCTTGGCTCATCGGCCAGACTTTGGTGACCCACTAATGAGCCTCTGCTTGGACTGTGGGTCATGGAAAACACTAGATCGGTCTGATAAAACAAATGTGGTATGTAATCCATAGTTGAAAGGTGGAGTGCTTGATGATTGTTGATTCAATTCCTATACCATATGGATATTTTTCCCATCAAATTAATTTAATTGTGTTTGTTTGACGATAGAAATTATTTAGAATTATTATTTGAATTTTTATGAATCACTGGATATTTTATTTATAATTTCTGGATTTATAAAATTAAAATATTGATTTTACAATGGTTTAAATATTCAAATAATATTCTAATTTTTTTTTATTAATTTTAAAAATATAAAAATACCATGAGAGCCCTATTGCTCACATGGGCGTATTTCTAGAAGGTGGGGCTCATGAGTGCCTCCCTTGGGTGGCACGCCCCACCCTTATTCTCTTTCGTATTTTTGTGGTTATATGGCATGTGACCATATGGTTGGAAGATATTGACTTGATATATCTTTAAAAGATTTTGTGAAAAGATTGAGTAGACTTGTGCTATTTTATAGTATGCATAATATTTTGATTAAATTTATTTTATCTAATTTCTATTGATGGGAAAGTAGTTTAAGAAAAGGGGATAAGGGTTCATGTACATTCCATAATGTTGATGACCCATTTATGAAATTGATGATTCAGATCTCTCCCCCCACAAGTCACCCTTGATCGACGGTCTAGGTTCAATCTTACAAGAAGAGACAAGCTGAGGAAAACCTTAAGAAACCCTAATCTTGTTCAAACCTATAAAAAAGTGATTGTCTCTACCCAAAATCTTTACACCTTATCTTTCTATCTCTCTCTCTTAAGAAAAGTATCTCTCTCTCATGAGAGCCAAAAAAGGGGGCATGTCCCACTCTCAACTTTAATCTCGCTCTCCCATATTGTGAAAGAACCTAAGAGTTTAGGTTATGGAGTTCTTTTCTCTCCTATCTCTCAACTATGAATTTATGGCTAAGGGTTTTAGGATTTAGCAAAAAGAGAATCCATATCTCTCAACCTAAGAAGGTAAGGGAATTTACCTAGGGTTTGAATCTGTGATCAAAGGGGTTCATGTTCCATTGGTATCGCTTGGCCTAAACTTGCTTTCCGGGTTTGAGATTGAAGCAAGATCGTAGATCCCGCACCAT